TCAAAGACGGTGGGTGATCGTGTGGCCGCCCTGGGCACAGAGCGGGCTATAGGGTTGCCACCTGATGACAAGCAGACAGGCCCTGCTGGTATGCATCTGCACCTTTTGCTGGGAAAGGAGACAGACAGAAAGCCAAGACTCTGGACTAGGCCAGCAGCTGGAGGGGGCGATCCAGGAGGCTGACAGGTATCTGGCTGAACTGCGGCAGATAGATGCTCAGCATCTGGAGGCAGAGAAAAAAAAAGACAGAAGATCTTAAGTCCAAAGCACAGGAGAGCCTCAGACACTGAAAGCTGAAGTGTAAAATGGAGAAGAAAGAAGAGAGTGTGAAAGTGACAAGCGAGCACTGTACATAGGTCAGGTGTCATTTAAATTTCTGTTATGACATGCACAGTAATGCACTGTATATGCTTTCTAACCCTGGCCCTCAAGGGCCACTGATAGGCCATGACTTTCTAGTCTCCCAGATAGCAGCAGTAATTAACTTCCTTCTGATTCTACTTTATAAAGGTGGCCATACACTGTATGAATTTCAGCAGGTTCTTGATAAAGCAGCCAAAATTCACATAGTGGGTGCCGCTTTCAGGTGGCATCCCTCGATCAGCTGATCGAAAAAGCCAAAGCAAAATGAGAAAAAAAGAACAGAGCCGGCAGCCAATTAGCCGGCAGCCGGTTGCTGTTCGGGTATTCTGACAGTGTATGACCCCAAATCACTTACACAACATGTCACTCTTTGCTCTCTCTTCTCGCTCACTCCCCTGGTTATCTCTTCTCGCTCACTCCCCTGGTTATCTCTCCTCGCTCACTCCCCTGGCTGTCTCTCCTCACTGTCTCTCCCCAGGCACTCTCCTCGCTCTCTCTACTGGCTGTCTCTCCTCTCTCTCCCCAGGCACTCTCCTCGCTCTCTCTCCTGGCTGTCTCCCCTCTCTCTCTCCCCAGGCACTCTCCTCGCTCTCTCTCCTGGCTGTCTCCCCTCTCTCTCTCCCCAGGCACTCTCCTCGCTCTCTCTCCTGGCTGTCTCCCCTCTCTCTCTCCCCAGTTACTCTCCTCGCTCTCTCTCCTGGCTGTCTCCCCTCTCTCCCCAGGCACTCTCCTTGCTCTCTCTCTTGGCTGTCTCCCCTGGCTGTCTCTCCTCGCTCTCTCTCTTGGCTGTCTCTCCTCGCTCTCTCTCTCTTGGCTGTCTCTCCTCGCTCTCTCTTCTGGCTGTCTCTCCTCACGCTCTCTCTCTTGGCTGTCTCTCGCTCTCTTCTGGCTGTCTCTCCTCACGCTCTCTCTCTTGGCTGTCTCTCGCTCTCTCTCTCCCCAGGCACTCTCCTTGCTCTCTCTCTTGGCTGTCTCTCCTCGCTCTCTTTCCTAGCTGTCTCTTCTCGCTCTCTCTCTTGGCTGTCTCTACTGGCTGTTTCTCCTCGCTCTGTTTTGGCTGTCTCTCGCTCTCTCTCTTGGCTGTCTCTCGCTCGCTCTCCTCAATCTCTCTCTTCGCTTATCCTCCTGGCTGTCTCCCCTCTCTTTCTCTCCCCAGGCACTCTCCTCGCTCTCTCTCCTGGCTGTCTCTCCTCGCGCTCTCTTGGCTGTCTCTCGCTCTCTCTCCTGGCTGTCTCTCCTCGCTCTCTCTTGGCTGTCTCTCCTCGCTCTCTCTCTTGGCTGTGTCTCGCTCTCTCTCCTCAATCTCTCCTTGCTTATCCTCCTGGTTGTCTCTCCTCGCTCACTCCCCTGGCTATCTCTCCTCGCTCTCTCTCTTGGCTGTCTCTCCTCGCTCTCTCTCTTGGCTGTCTCTCCTCGCTCTCTCTTTTGGCTGTCTCTCCTCGCTCTCTCTTCTGGCTGTCTCTCCTCGCTCTCTCTTCTGGCTGTCTCTCCTCGCTCTCTCTTCTGGCTGTCTCTCCTCGCTCTCTCTTCTGGCTGTCTCTCCTCGCTCTCTCTTCTGGCTGTCTCTCCTCGCTCTCTCTTCTGGCTGTCTCTCCTCGCTCTCTCTTCTGGCTGTCTCTCCTCGCTCTCTCTTCTGGCTGTCTCTCCTCGCTCTCTCTTCTGGCTGTCTCTCCTCGCTCTCTCTTCTGGCTGTCTCTCCTCGCTCTCTCTTCTGGCTGTCTCTCCTTGCTTATCCTCCTGGGTTGTCTCTCCTCGCTCACTCCCCTGGCTGTCTCTCCTCGCTCTCTCTTCTTGCTTATCCTCCTGGGTTGTCTCTCCTCACTCACTCCCCTGGCTGTCTCTCCTCGCTCCCCTCTCTCTCCATGGTCTCTCTTGTATAATGCTACACAAAACAACAAAATATAGGCACTTGTTATCCCCTTTTAATGTTTAGAGAGGAAGATGTAGAGCTCTAAGAGTAAAAGGTGGAGCCTAAAGAGGAAGGGGTGGAGTTTACAGAAGGGGTGGGTCTTAAACAGGAAGGGGTGGGTCAAATTTAGATTGGAGGGGTGCCCGAGTTCACTCTTGCCTAGGGCAGCACAAAACCTAAATACACCACTGCAAATACCTCAGCGCTGAATACTGAAAAATGGCATGGACAGGAAGGGGGTTTAACACCCCAGGCTTCAAGTGGTTAAAAAAACAACACTGCAAGGGTTAAGTGCTTGTTTTTGTCTATGGTCAAAAATAAAAAACATTATATACACACAATCCTCGGAGCCGGACAGCTGTGACAGTGCTCCCTCCAGCCTGTTTCCTGCTTTTCTGCAGCAATGGAATGTTCCCCCGGTGTTCTCACAGTGTATTGGACGTGATGATTCAGAGACCTTAGACCACTGCAGCGGAGGGGGAGAGAGGCTCCAGGCAGGGGCGTCCCGAGGCTGGGTGACACCCGGAGCGGTTACCGGGTGTCACCCCGCCGAGACGTCATCACGCACACGCGGCGATCTTCTGATACCTGCCGACGGCCATCTTGGTGATGGACGCCGGCAGAGAGAGGAGGGGACAGTCACCCGGTGGGATAAGGTGTGCTGCCGGGTTCCCTCCTCTCTCCTGATACTGTCGGGCGTTCGGTCCATGACCGAGCGCCCGACTTTTCAGAGGGGGGTGACACCAAAATGACTGCCAAGGGGGGTGCGGGCCGCACCCCCCTTGTGACTCCACTGGCTCCAGGGACCGGTCCACTGGCTCCAGGGACCGGTCTAAGAGCCGGACAGCTCCAGGATTGGGTAAGTGTAACTTTTTAACTTTTGATGACAGTTCTGATGACAGAAATGGCACAGACTGATTGGCGGAAAGCATATGTGGTAAAGATATTTTTTTGTAAAAGACAAGATGTACACCTGGAAACTATAGGGAAGTCAGCATAACATCAATAGTGCAAAATATGAGGGAAAGACAAGGGACTGTATGCAAATTTGTGATAATGGGATAAGTAACAACCAGCAAGGATTTTAGAGCTGCAGCTAACGATTATTTTCAAAATCGATTAGTTAGCCGATTTTTGAGTTCGATTATTCAGTTAATCGGATAAAAAATAAAATACATTTTTAAAAATGGCTCCAGTGATGGGACTACTAGTTTGTATTGAGATTGTAGTCCATCACAGAAGCAAGCTTGGAGCGGAGGAAGTAAAAAAGAAAAAAAAGTGTGGTGTGCAATATAGTGAAATGAAAAGTGTAAAATTATACAGCAATGAAATGCAGAATGGCACCGTTGGTGAGCGTGAGGCGGGGAGGAGGTGCGGCGTGTGGAGCGTGGGTCTGGCAGCGGCGAGCATGAGGTGGGGAGGAGCTGCGGTGCGTATGTGGAGCTGTGAACAGGGCCAACTAAGCGGAAGCCGATTAATCAATGATTGAAAAAGTTGACAACTTTTTCAATAATCGATTATAATCGATTATGTCGATTAGTTGTTGCAGCCCTAAAGGATTTATATTTGGATTATAAGTAAGGTTTTAAAAAGACAGATGCAGCATGAGGATGAATAACAGATACAGAAACATTTATTAACCTCTTGCCGTCCGCCCTTTAAGAAAAAACGGACGGACGGCAGACTCCCATCCGCGGGTTGCTGTGTCCAGACGGCATTTTTTTCCTGCTCGCGCGCGCGCACGGGCAGGAAAGACCCGCTCGTTTCTACAGCCGTTAACGGCTGTTTCACATACAGCCGATCAGCGGCTCTATTGCCGCCGATCGGTTGTATGGCGTGAATTTCGGAGGGCCCCCCCCC